ATGTGTCCCGCGGTGTCCCGTCGTGTCCCGTGGTGTCCCGTTGAGTGAGATCGATCGTGAGATGGATAATGAGTTTGACAAGAGTCCCGTGGTGTCCCGTGGAGTGCCACGGTGTCCCGTTGAATGACATCGGTAGTGGGATCGATTGACTCAGATGTTGGTCCTCCCCCTCTCCCCCCCGCAAACCTCCTTACCACCCGAACGGTGGTCGTATGGGAGATATATGTGTATATATATATATGTATATGTGTATATATATACAGATATACAGTAGGGGTAGTAGTAGTAGTAGTAGTAGTCGTCGTCGCCGTCGTCGTCGCAGTAGAAGTAGTAGTAGTAGTAGTAGTAGTAGCAGTAGTAGTAGTAGTAGTAGTAGTAGTAGTAGTAGTACTGGTAGTCGTGGTAGTAGTAGTAGTAGTAGTAGTAGTAGTAGTAGTAGTAATAGTAAGAGTAGTAGTAGTAGTATTAGTAGTAGTAGCAGTAGTAGTGGCAGTAGTAGTAGTAGTAGTAGTAGTAGTAGTAGTAGCAGTATTAGTAGTAGTAGCAGTAGCAGTAGTAGTAGTAGAAGTCGAAGGAATATGAATAGTAGAAATAGAATTAGTACCACTAGTAGTAGTAGTAGTAGTAGTAGTAGTAGTAGTAGTGGTAATGAAAGTAGTGGAGGAAAATCGTAGTAAGTCCAGTCGTCGTAGCGGTAGCCGTAGTGGTAGTAGTAGCAGCCGTCGTAGTAGTAGTCGTCGTCGTCGTCGTCGATGTAGTAGTAGTAGCCGTCGTCGTAGTAGCAGTTTTTTTTTTTTTTTTTTTTTTTTTTTTTTTTTTTTTTTTTTTTTTTTTTTTTTTTTTTTTTTTTTTTTTTTTTTTTTAAAAAAAAAAAAAAAAAAAAAAAACGCTACTCGTAGTGGTGGTCTCGTAGTAGTGGTACTAATGGTGTTGCTAGTAGCAGCCGTATCAGTAGTATTATTAGTAGTCGTCGTCGTAGTAACAGCCGTACACGTATAGGGGTAGTGGCAGTCGTAATCATAGTCGCAGAAGTAGTAGTAGCAGTAGTAGTAGAAATGGTACTAGTAGTGGTCGTAGTAGTAGTAGTAGTAGTAGTAGTAGTAGTAGTAGTAGTAGTAGTAATAGTAGTAGCAGTAGTAGTAATAGTAGTAGTAGTAGTAGCAGTAGTAGTAGTAGTAGTAGTAGCAGTAGTAGTAACAGTAGTAGTAGTAGTAGTAGTAGTAGTAGCAGTAGTAGTAGTAGTAGTAGTAGTAGTAGTAGTAGTGGTAGTAGTGGTAGTAGTAATAGTAAAAGCGGTCGTAGTGGTAGCCGTTACAGCAGTGATAGCAGTAGTAGCAGCAGCAGCAGTAGTAGTAGTAGAAGCAGTCGTAGCAGTCGAAGAAAAAGAAGTAGTAGTAGAAATGTTGGTCGTAGTAGGAACAGTAGAAGTAGTGGTAGTAGTAGTAGTAGTAGTAGTAGTAGTTGTAGTAGTAGTAGTAGTAGTAGTAGTAGTAGTAGTAGTAGTAGTAGTACGTGGGAATAGAAGTACTAGTAATAATAGTCGTCGTCGTAGTCGTAGTAGTAGTAGTAGTAAAAGAAGCTGTCGCCGTCGTAGTCCTAGTTGTAGTAGTCCTGTATAAGGAGTAGTAGGTAGTAGTAGAGATAGTAACTGTCGTAGCCGTAGTAGTGTTAATCGTAGTAGTAGTAGTAGCGGCAGTAGGAGTAGCAGTAGTTATAGTAGTCGCAGTAGTAGTAGTAGCAGTAGTAGTAGTAGTAGTAGTAGTAGTAGTAGTAGTAGTACTAGTAGTAGTACTTGTCCTAGGCGTGATAGTAGTGCAGTAGTAGTAGTACTTGTTCTAGTCGTAAGTGTAGTGCAGTAGTAGTAGTAGTAGTACTAGTAGTAGTAGTAGTAATAGTCGTAGTCGTAGTAGTAGTAGCAGTAGTAGTATAGTAGTAGTAGTAGTAGTAGTAGTAGTAGTAGTAGTAGAAGACGTAGCAGAAGTAGTAGTAGTAGTAGTAGTAGTAGTAATAGTAATAGTAGTAGTACAAGTAGTCGTAGTCGTAGTCGTAGTAGTAGTAGTAGTAGTAGTACTAGTAGAAGTAGTAGTGGTAGCAGTAGTCGTAGTAGTCCTCGTAGAAGTAGTAGTAGCAGTAGTAGTAGTAGTACCAGTAGTAGCAGTAGCAGTAGTAGTAGTAGTAGTAGTAGTAGTAGCAGTAGTAGTAGTAGTAGTAGTAGTAGTAGTAGTAGTAGTAGTAGTAGTAGTGGTGGTAGTAGTCGTAGTAGTAGTAATCCTAGTAGAAGTAGGAGTAGCAGTAGTAGTAATAGTAATAGTAAGAGTACGGGTTCTTGGGACAGTTTTGGTAGCAGCAGTAGGAGACAGACGAATCGCCGAGGCGAACGTTAGGTGGGGATGAGCAACCCTTGGCCGACTTTTGACTGACCCGGACCTCTCAGGAGCCGCCTCCGCATGGCCTGCGCTGCTGGCAAGCCCAGCGGCCGCCCCGGCAGCGGCAGCCGCTCCTGGCGCCGGCGCAACCCCGCGTCGTCGTCGCTGCAGGCGTGAGTCGTAGGTCCTCCGCCTCGTGCTCGCGTCGACCCTCCTCCTCCTACCGCGTGCCCTATGGACAATGTGCACGAGCTTCGCGACATGTGTGCCCGACGCGAGCATCGGATCGGACCCATGCCAACACACAGGCACTGTCCTTCAGCGGAGACTACACCCAGTCCCTCAGTCCCATAGCAGTGGTGGTGGTGGTGGCCATGGGGGGACAATAACTTGTTACATATTTTGAAAACTGTATGTTTTCCGATCGCCCCCCCACCACGACCCCACGCAGAAAGTGTTCTGACGAAGGACGAAGGAATCCGTACCAAACGAATCCTTACTCAGGACGCCCCACAGAAGGCAGCCACGGAAACCTTTGCTAAAGGAGGCCGTACAAAAGAGTCTTTACTATATGGGGTCCTTACGAGAAAGATCCTTGCTAAAGGCATCCCCTCTACGGGGGCCTTAGGAAAAGCATCCGCACCCAGCATCTCTTACTTAACGCATGCTTGTTCAGGAACCCGCAGCCTTCTTCAGGAGCCATAGCGAAAAGAAGTGATACAATTGGGGGCATTGCTACAGGGCCCGAAACGAGAGGACATGCACCAAAGGAGTCGTCCCTAAGGAGGCCTCAAGAATAACGTTATTAGATATGACCCGCTGCTGAAAGCATCATTGCGGGCTGTTTCTGAAGGAAGCATGACCAACCAACCCTGACCACAGGGGCCCTTACTGGGCGGACCCTTTCTTAAACCGTCCTCACCTTACCCAAGACCCGTTACAGAAGGCATCCGTAGTAAAGAACCCTTGCTCAAGGAAATCTGAGAAAAGGAGTCTTCACTACAGGGGGTCCGACCGAACAGGTTCATTGCTAAAGGCATCCCCGCTAAGGGCGCCTCCATTAAATCTTCAATACTGACGATCCCTCCCTAGAAAAATCCTTGTTCAGGAACCCGTATCCTTATTATGAAGCCATTCCTACAGGAAGTGGTACCACTGGAGAGGCATTGCTACAAAGGCCCTAACCAAAAGGACACGTACTAAAGGAATCATTCCCAAGGAGGCCTTCAGAAAAACAGTATTGATACTGATCCGTTACTGTGCCCATCATTGTCACTGGGGCTGTTATTCAAGGAAACATGATCAATCAGTCCTTCCCGCAAAGGTCCTTACTGGGCCGATCCTTACTGAAGCCATCCTAAGCTTGTCCAAGACACGTTACATAATACATCCGCAGTAAGGAAAAATTGCGAAAGTAACTCTAAAGCATATTGCTTACTACAGGGGGGCCCTTACTGAAGGGCCCCGTAGCCGAGACATCCCCGCCAGAGAAACCTCAATAATATGATCCGTACGTAAGAGCCCATGATATATACAAAATGTCTGAGTCAAGAGCCCGCATCGATCTAAAGGCGCCGGTGCTGGAGGGACTCGCAGTAAGGGGTGAGTGCTAGAGAAGTCCCTACCGAGAGGGCGCTTGCTCAAGCAATCGTCGCGTAGAAGCTTTACTAGCAACAGTATTGCGACGGGTCCTTGCTTCAAAACATCATTAGCACGGCGCCGCTACTAAACGAAGCATGTGCAATGGATTCTTGCTTCAGGGAGCCTTACTGAAAGGATTCTTGCTCAAGGCATCCTTACCAAGGACTCCTACCCGAAGAGGTCCTTACTAAGGAGTCATCACGAAACGCGTCCTTACTAGCGGATGATTGCTGAAGCGTCCAAATTAAGAATTCCGCACTAAAGAAAAGTTTGCTGAGGACACCTTGGCAAAATTCATCCTTATGAGCGAAGCCTTGCTAAACAACAGTGTGCTAACCATCCTTCCTTAAACACATTCTCACTGAGGGTCCCAGCGACTGTCGCGAGGGGGAGTTGACGCTTAACCCGGCCTTGATACCGCATCGGTTGAACCACATGGATCGCACAACATAGGTGCCACCACACCGACTGCACATACACATATATACATATATATACATATATATATATGTATATATATATATATAAACACATACTGCAGCACATGTACTGCGCAACATGCATTGCACCACGTACACTGCCCCACCCCAACTACCCAGCAAAGAATGCACCACATTCATTGCACCACAAATATTCTCCTTTCTGAAAACAAAAGAATAGACTCGACCCCCCCCCCGGACTTATCTGCCCTCCCTGGGATAAAATGATTCCATATATTTTCTGCCCACTCGTCCACCCTAAATATGAAATCATACCATCCCAGCTCGGCCGGGCTCCCCCCCTGAGGTTCCCTGGAAAAACAATATGCGGTGACATTTGTTGTTCTAACATTGCAAGTGTTCACGAATCTCTTGCACAAAAGTGAGACGAAGTGCACACGCGCGCGTCGTCGCGCGCGCATGCCGAAATCCATCAAAAACTTCTGGTGCCAAAAGGATTTCGCAATCGAGTTTCTAAAAAAACATACAAAAACACATGGTTTCGCAACGCTGATTTGCTAAAAAACGCGTCAGCGCGAGCTCTTGCGAAATATTAAAGAAACAATCGGCTTTTCAAGATTTTCACAAAATGCCACCAAACGGGCTTCGCGCGCGGGCATGTCGAAATCTGTCGAACGCCCTTGCGCGTGTGCCGTCGCGAGAACCCTTTGCAAAAAATGGGACGAAGTGCAGACGCGCGCATCGTCGCGGGCGTACGTCGAAAACCTTCAAAACCCATCGGTTTCGGAAGGATTTCAAAATCGTGCGTCCAAAAAACCTACAACAACCCAGGGTTCCGCAACACGGGTTTTCAACAAAAACGTGCGCGCGCGCTCTTGCATCGTCGTCGTCGTCGTCGCCGTCCTCCCTCCTCCCGCGTCGTCGTCGTCGTCGTCGCCTACGTCGTCCTCTGTCTTTTCTAGTGTTCGTCGTCGTCGTCGTCGTCCTCTTTGGCGTCGTGGTCGTTTCCGTCGTCGTTGTCGCCGTGGTCGTCCTTCCTCCTCCTCCCACGTCGTCGTCGTCGTCCGTCGTCGGCGTCTCGTCGTCGTCCCTCCTATTTCGTCGCCGTCGTCGTCGTCGTTGTCGTTGTCGTCTTCCCTCCTCCCTCGTCGTTGTCGTCGTCGGCGTCGCCGTCCTTCCTCCTTCGTCGTCGTTCGGGTCGTCGCCGTCCTCCCTCCTCCCTCGTCGTTGTCGTCGTTGTCGTCGTTGTCGCCGTCGTCGTCCTTCCTCCTCCCTCGTCGTCGCCTTCGTTGGCGTCGTCGTCATCGTCGTCTTCGTCGTCGTCGGCGTCGTTGTCGTCGTCAAAGTCGTCGGAGACGTCGTCGGTGTCGTCCTAGTCGTTGTCGTCGGTGTCGTCGTAGTCGGTCTTAAGAGGTTTTGCAAACCAAGTTGCGGGTGGGTGGGTGGGATGTTTGCACGAGCAGTGGAGAGGACAGCTTCAAGACGGTCAAGGTGGATTCTCCTTTCTAAAAAGAAAATAAATTCTACCCCCCCCGGACTTATCGGCTCCCCCTGGGATAATATGATTGCATATATTTGAAATCGTACCATCCCAGCCAGGCCGGGTTCCCCCCCTGAGGTTCCCTTTGTAAAAAACACTATGCGGTGATATGTTTTGTTCTAGCCAAACACTTTTTAAAAAACGAATCCCTTGCAAAAAATGAAAAAAGAAATGCACACGCGCGCGTCGTCGCGCGCGCATGCCCAAATCCTTCAAAAACCTTCGGTGCTGGAAGGATGTCGCAATCGAGCTTCCAAAAAAAAGCATACAAAAACACAAGGTTTCGCAACACTGATTTGCTAAAAAAAAAACGCGTCCGCGCGAGCTCTTGCGAAATATCAAGGAAACAATCGGCTTTTCAAGATTTTCACAAAATGCAACCAAACGGGCTTCGCGCGCGCGCATGTCGAAATCTGTCGAACGCCCTTGCGCGTGTGCCGTCGCGAGAACCCTCTGCAAAAAATGGGACGAAGTGCAAACGCGCGCGTCGTCGCGGGCGTACGCCGAAAACTTTCAAAACCCATCGGTTTCGGAAGGATTTCCAAATCGTGCGTCCAAAAAATCTACAAAAACCTAAGGCTTCGCAACACGGATTTTCAACAAAAGCGCGCGCGCGCGGGTCGTCGTCGTCGTCGTCGTCGTCGTCGTCGTCGCCGTCCTCCCTCCTCCCGCGTCGTCGTCGTCGTCGCCAACGTCGTCCTCTGTCTTTTCTCGTGTTCGTCGTCGTCGTCCTCTTTGGCGTCGTGGTCGTTTCCGTCGTCGTTGTCGCCGTGGTCGTACTTCCTCCTCCTCCCTCGTCGTCGTCGTCGTCCGTCGTCGGCGTCTCGTCGTCGTCCCTCCTATTTCGTCGCCGTCGTCGTCGTCGTCGTCGTCGTCGTCGTCGTCGTCGTCGTCTTCCCTCCTCCCTCGTCGTTGCCGTCGTCGGCGTCGCCGTCCTTCCTCCTTCTTCGTCGTTCGCGTCGTCGCCGTCCTCCCTCCTCCCTCGTCGTTGTCGTCGTTGTCGCCGTCGTCGTCCTCCCTCCTTCCTCGTTGTCTTCGTTGGCGACGTCGTCGTCGTCTTCGTCGTCGTCGTCGGCGTCGGCGTCGTTGTCGTCTTCGTCGTCGTCGACGTCGGCGTCGTCGTCGTCGCCGCCGTCGTCGTCGTCGTCGTCGTCGTCGGCGTCGTTGACGTGGTCGTCGTCGTCGGTGTCGTCGTTATCGTCGTCGTCGGCGTCGTCATCGTCGTCGTCGTTGTCATCGTCGTCTTCGGCGTCGGTGTCGTCGTCGCCGGTGTCGTCGTCGTCGTCGTTGTCGGCGTCGTTGAAGTCGCTGGAGACGTCGTCGGTGTCGTCGTAGTCGTTGCCGGCAGCGTTGTCATCGTCGTTGTCGCTGTCGTCGTCGGCGTCGCTGTTGTTGCCAAGTGCCATGTGGTACCCACCGTCACGGTCTTAAGAGATTTTGCAAACCAAGTTGCGGGTGGGTGGGTGGGTGGGTGGGATGTTTGCGCGAGCAGTGGAGTGGACAACTCACTGCG